ATACATATATCTATTCTTATGAAAAGTGTTGTATTGAACAAAATAGGAGCATACTCTATAGGCTTGGTTTCTTCGATGTCGCAGTATATTGCGATGTCCTTGAATGTTTGCGCGAGGATTGGTACAAACTTGCCGCCGTTCTATTCCTATATGTGGCTCCCTTTCGCATATATCGTTCAAGCGCGAATGTCGAAAGTGCAGAGCCTTATGAGGACTTCTCGTATTCTTGCTCATTTCATAGAGCCCAAGTCAGAGCCGAGCACAATCATTATGACGGCCGAGTACACGTTGAAAGCGACCGTGTAATTTGCTGTAACCTATGAGTTTGAAAACACTTAAGCGAAGTTTTTTGGCCTTGTATTAACTAGACTTGGCGATTGATTATTTATAGTGGCGAGGCGATCATTATCCCTGACTTTTTTCAAATCTTCGCCATCTCTAAACAAAACCAGAAATAAACCCATCACAAAATTGCTTCCAAATTTTATTTTATACGTTTGTACTGACTAAATTCCAGGCGCATTGCTATCTTATCTCATCTGCCCTTCTGATATTTATACATTATATACCGACATTACATTACCAATGCATCCCCCCCCCTTTCTATCCTCCTTTGCACACAGTCTTACAGGTGGATGATCACACAATAACCTTGGCTTAACCTAGCACACCGCTCCAGTGACCTGATAGTCATCAGGATTATGTTTATCTACGGGTGTTCCCTGGAAATCTAAGCGACGAGTGGGGATTGGCAACTATAGTCACACCACTCATTTGTATCTGAAATACATCCATCAAATGCACTATGATTGGCATGTGCATGAACCCGGAGACCTTCACATTTACGCACGTCCACCCCCAAGGGTGCCCGCGTCGGTTGTCTTTCTGTAGCCCGAGGACCTGCTTTCTAGATAGATCCACTCTGTTATAGCCTATGACTAATGACTAATGATCTCATAACCGCAATGAATCTCATGCAGCGCCAGACCAGTCGCGTTGGACTGGCTAGCACTCGTCCGATATGAGCAACCATAGATGCGTTTTCGCACTACATTTTTTCTCTCCATCCGCCTATTGACTGTCGTTGTTGCCTCGCATGTCCCTCAGCTGCTTGTACTGCCCCTCATCGATGTACATGACCTGAGTGGAATCGCCTTGCTCACTTGCCAGCTGTGCCAGTTGACGTTGCTGTTCCGGGTCGGTGATGTAAACCAACTGCCCGAACTCGTTCATGTATCCGAACGTGGGTTCGCTATCATTACTCGAGCCACTGTACACACTGCTGCCGTCGTCATCGTCATCGTCTTCGTTGTCGCTGTGTTCACTCTCGTTATCCGTTCGTGGCTGTTGCATGCCTGTGGAGCATGATTGGACAAGGTGGCTTGGTGTATTTAGAGACGATGATGGAATATGACAATGATTTGAAATGAACAGTATAGAATGATTAGATATTACGATTCCAAAATATACTATCACACATCACACACACCACACACTCGCCACAACGCGCTGGACGAGGCATACACATACTCGCTAAACATTTGTGAGCATCATGTAGAAGACCAGAAGATAGTACGGCATACACATGCAGAAGATATCAGACAAATCAGACAGTAGAGAACTGTACATGTATCGAACCAAAAACCCATCATACCGTGAACGTCCAGATCGTGGGGTTGCTTGTTAGGCTGTGCAAAGCCCCTCTGTGCGGCTCCGGTTGTGTTGAGGTCTTCAGGAGCGCCTCTGGGCACACTAACGCCCGAGCCGTTCTTCAGGGAACGCGGGGTACTGTTGTGACTGTTACGACTCTTATATGACTCGTGCGGTGATCCGGTTTTATCCTGCAATACGCATATTCCGAATGATTGAATGTGGTGGTTTGAAGATTGTATGCAATATTGTGAGTGCAGAGTGGTGAATTGTTCCCGAAACATCTCCCGCGGCACTTGGCAGATAAAAGGTATGCGCTGCTTGGTGGTCAAACAAAAAGCAGCCGAGCATCGGCGTGGAACGATGGCACACAAATACAGCACAAACACGCTGCGAAGTAACTGTCATGTACACAGTCCTATACGTGATTGTTTTGTAAACAATTAAGTAGAACATGCGACTATGGGGACATACATTGAGAGTTCCGCGGCCGTAATCGTCAACTGTGTGATGATTGAGGGGTTTGTCGGTTTGGTAACCCTGAATGGGGAGGCCAATCGCATACAAAGACTGTCAGACAATGGAAAGAAAGCATTCTAAAGCTGGTTCGTCCTGGCGCACCACCGTCTTGCTACCCAGCTGGCACAAAGCACAGCCACGACCCAGCTTATATGCTTGCCCTACTCAGACAATCAGCCAGGCGTGGCACTCACAACGTATGAACACTACTCTCACCTCGTATGGACATCACACTCACGTCGTATGAACACTACACTCACATCGTATGCTCAAGACACCCACATCGTATGAACACATACACTAACATCGTATGGACACTACACTCACATCG